CATAGTGAGACCTCATCTCTTTAAAAAAAAAAAAAAAAAAAAGTATATTTAACACTCAACAGTTATCCGCAAAAATTTCCTTTATATACTCCTATGAGGAAAAATTTCTCTTTCTCTTCTGAACTTCATTAGAAATTGCTCCAGATACTTGACTCTCAATGAACTTGTCACTCATTCTTTTTTCCATCTAGACTCCAAGCTCTTTGAGGGCAGGGTTTATATTTATCTTCATATCCCTCAGAAGGTAGCATAGTCACACATTATTTAATAAATAATTGCTAAGGGAGTAAGTGTATAATTAATACATAACATGGAAGAATAAGCTACTGTTACCAAATGAAAGAAAAATGTACTGTGTTCTATTTTAAGTAATGCAACACTTGAAGATAACACCACTCTTTCAGTGTTTCATTTGCTCAGTAAACAATTTTCCCGGTATGGAACTGGCAAAATAATAGGAAGAATCAATTACATGGTGCTTTTTCATTATCTGTTTCATGATTGTAGGCAATCCACTTCTACTATAATGTCCCTGGCGGTAATAAACAAAACTCAGATTTCCTTTACCAATAAAACCAAAAACACTGAAGGCTATTCAATCTGTGGTTTAGATTTACTGCGTGTCTTTTGCAAACATGTTTTCATTATTACTAATGTCCTTCATATTTTGATTTTTGTTTTTTGCTTTTTACTATACTGAAAAATGAAAATTATTCATAAAACGTCAACTCAATAGAGAGGTCAAGAAAAGCGATATATTAGAGATATAAATTTTTTGTTTCGTTTTGGTTTGGTTTTGGAGGGAGTGGGGAGAGAAGAGAGAGGAGGAGGAATGGAGCTGGGGTGGAGGGGAGCTCTAGAGATACAAATTTTAACTAAGGCAGTGTTGTCTCAGTGAAACATTACAAAAGGAAACGTTTCACTGTAGCCAAGAATGATATAATCACTTCAGAAAAACATCTGTTATAAAATTAGAGCTCAGAGGGTTAACAATAAGCAATGACATATAATGAAAAAGGTTCCCCCTAAAGTTAGCTGAACTCGTTAAGAAGGACAACTGCTCTTTCACAGGTGTTTTATATCAATAAAAAAGGACTGACCGCCTTTGCAAAACTATGGAACAAATATAGTCCTTGGTCACAAAGTGGCAAAGGTTCAAATGATTTTGTTGTTAAGTGTTTAGTGTTTACTGCAGCAAATGACTACAAAATTCATCAGCTCCCTATTTATTAAGCTGACACTCCAACGTCATTGGAGAGGATCTAATTCTAAAGCTTTGGTAACATAAATGTTATTTAAAAACTAGTTTTCACATTACTTTGTTCCAGAGATCAAAAAATAGTGTAGCACCAAGTGTTGGTGGTATGGTGGTGAGCATAGCTGCTTTCCAAAAAAACAGTGCATAATAATAATCTTCCTTTTCAATGTATCACCAATTTGGGAAACTACTCTCACACCCTCAAACTTCAGCACCATCCTCCAAACGCTTCTTTGCCACAACTGCCCTCGCCTCATCCCCACCACAAGCACAACTGCGATTGCCTCAAACAGCAGATCAAGAGGTCACCAAATGCTCCAAGGGCTACTATTCTCCTTAAAAAATTTCTGAAAAGTCTGCTGCGGCAGGTGATACGGAAGGTAAAGCAATAATACAAAAATTCTATGTGATTAATATTTTGGAAGCTATGACAATAATTAACAAAATTTGGAATGAAGGCAATAAATCCAAACTTGAATTTGTTATTTACGATTTTTAAAGCCTTAAGCAAATCTGAAATAAGTGCCATAGAAACTGATTGACCCCACAAAGAGACTAGGCTTAGCAGCTTTTCCTACAGATGTGATTAAATTATTAGAATATCATTCTTGGAGACTGGCAATGAAGATCTTAGTGAAACAGAAGAGCACGGGATCGATGAAGAAATCACCGTCAAACTGTCTTCCCCTCAACATTTACCATTCAAAGACATTTGGAAGCAGATATAAAATGTCAAATCAGCGATGAAAATTTATGAGCGATTATTCTAATTTTTAATTCAAAGATCCCTGGAGCAATACGCCATGCCTACACAGGCTACTAGAAAATTTTTTCAGGAAAAGAAGACAGGTAAGCTTCAATAAATTCCTATTTGAAGAAGCCATAGTTAGTCTATCTCATGGAAATCACCCAAAAGGAATATTCACATATTTGGAAATATTTGGCTTCACTTCCTTTTATTTTTATAAATTTATTTTCATAGTCAATTTTGGTATTTTCACGTTATGAAATGGCTTTCTTACAATATAGTGCCAATATATTAATATAACTGCACCTACAGAAAGGGTTTCGTTTACAACTTTTTGACCGTTCTAAAACTAATTAAATGATACACTGGTGTCACATATAAATATAGAGCATTATTAAATTTGGTGATGTGTAGTACACTGCCAAAAGATATCAAGATATGATTTAAGTTGAATCTGTGATTCAAATTGCTAACTTAAAATGACAGTCAACGACAGTTTCTAATGTAGCTCTTTTCTACATATAATGTATTTCAAGGAAGCTAGATGTGGGATAGATAGCAGTTATAGCAACAAGGATAGAGTCCATAAGCAGATAATTCATAACCATATTTAACTAAATATACACTCCCAAAAGTAAACTCTCACATAAACGTCATTTTATATGGTCAAAGGTGATGTACAACTGAGCCACATCTGAGTAGGAGTAGCTTTCTTTGAGCATCTTCAAGAAATAATTCTTTGTAATATTTTAGAACAACGTTAGACTGTCAAATCATTCAACATCCCAGGAGAATTTCAGCCTTTCTGGTTTCGGCTGAGCAACTCATACCTACTCACAAGGTTAGAATTTCACTCTTCTATTTGGATAAGCCTGAGAGCCACCAGAGAGTCCCAGCGTGAGATGTCGGAACGTACCATTAACTGCTCCCCCACGTTGGCAGACATGTCCTTGGGAAACACTGTCATGGGACACATGCAAATACTACTTTGGGTTTTGTTTTTTTTTTTAAATAAGAAACCTGTCTGTATTAAAATGAGAAAAATTGTTTTATAAATAAGATATACAGTTAATTGACTTCTAGGTAGATCTAATACTTCTGCTAAAATGCTACTGAATCCATAAAACATTTTCTTGTCTCAATCTAATGAAGTATATTAAAAATATTTGTTGCCACTACTTTCAAGGTAACTAAACAGGAGATATTTGTAAAAATGAATTACTTTTCATCCATCCGGCTTCTCATTTTCTTCAGTTTCTGCATAATACTGCTAGTTTCACTGCTGGAAATTGAAATGGGAGAAGGACTACGGGTCTCCAAGTCAGTTGGACCAGGACTAGTTGCCTTATTATCCTTTGTATCATCATCACTATGAGAGTCCTGCGACAAAAAGAAGCAAAATTTTATTGGACTTTAAAAGGATCTTGAAGTTATCTTAAACACTAAGTTTATCCTCAAAACAATGTAATGTTGAAAATAAGACATTTCTTAAAGGACAAAATATATCACACACTTAAAAATAGTTAAAATAGTAAATTTTATGTTATAT